TTATTAGTTTGTCCCAAGGCTATCCAGTGGATCTTTGGACCTTGGCTTCCTGGTGTATAGAAGGGGACTAATGATATCTGCTTCGGAAATCACCAGTGCCACAGCACCGGGTCCGGCCTGCCCCGCTCGCACGGTGGCTCCGCCTGCGTCCCCTGACCCAGGAGGGGCGTAATCCACATAATCCCCGTGACAGATGGCCCCCACCCCTGGCTCCCACACACGGCTCTTCCACCCACTACGTCCTACAACCCAGCTTCTCAGTCATGTTTTCGTTTTGTTCTCCGTGTATCTGGGAGCAGGGTGGAGTCCCTGGCTGGGAACGTTGACCTCAGCCTGAGCCCAGAGGACAAGGCCGGCACGTCAGGAGTGAAGTTGTTAGTTTGCCGGCCAGTGGGTTGCTAGGTGAGAACGAGTGTCTGCTAAATAGATTTCTGTCAAATATTGACTATTACATTAGTGATGTCATGTTCTGGGGCAGATGTTTCCTCTGAATACCTCCAGAACACACAGGGGCGGGAAGTGTGCGGTGTCCGAAGCAGGCCGTGGAGATTTGTGGATTATATAAATGCTATTCATCGCAGAGTGGTCCCCCTTTGGAATCGTCCAAGATGACACTTTCTGCTTTCTTATCAGCTCCCGTTGTTTTTTTCCCCTTTTGATGGGGGCTGGAAGGGCGGGTTCCCAAAGTCTGAGGGTCATTTTCACAATGGTTCTTTCTTTGTTTGATTTTTTCCAGAGCACATTCCTCATTTGCCTGCTTCTCAAATGGGCTGCTCCCCCAGTATTCCTTGGTGGGCGCTCAAGCTGGGAACCAGAGTGTGTTCCTAAATGTCTCCCCTTCCCCACCCCAGGGTCCCTAAGCCTGTGACAGCCTCCTCACTCAGATCTCCTGCTTCCCTTGGGCCACCCGGTCAGGCTCCAACCTCAGGTCAGGAGGACTTTTTTTTTTTTTTTTTTGACTTGTGGCCATTTCTCCCCAGTGTGCAGTGGTTCTTCAGCGCACTCCCCAAAGGACAAAGCCTCTTTTCCTTGGGAGGATTCAGGAGGCCCTCTGTACATGCTTTGTCAGCCAGCCCCAGACTCACCTGGCTTTTCTCTCCCCGGACTGTCCATCTTCCTCTGAGTACCATTTCCAGCCCCGCTGCCTCTCTCAGCCGACCAGGGGTGGTGCTTTCTCCCAGCCACCTGGCCCTTGGTCTCCCCAGCATCAGGCTGTCAGCCTCCTGTGGGCCAGGGAGGCAGCTGAGGGTCTGCTGCAGGGACCCTGGCCAGCCTGTCTTTGGGCCCAGCACCTGGTTCTGCTCAGCACCTGGTACTGCTCAGCGGCCAGGTACCCACAAGGTGGCCGCTGTGCCATTTAACAGGTGCAGTGCCCCCAGCGGAGTGCCCGCAGGCATTTCAGAATCCTTGGTGAGACAACAGGAGCATCATCCAATTTTATTTCCTGTTTCTCATTTGGGAAGACAATGTATTATTATGTCTCCTGATTTATCCTAGCCTGAACTATATTGTATCTCACATACTTTTAAGTTAAAAATAGCATTTCTATACTTTTGTGCCCGGGAGCGTTCAAAGCGGTCCATTCCCTGCTCACCACCCCCCATGGCTGGTGCTCCTTGAGCAGAAACAGAACCTGGGGGACCGCGGTGTCCCCTGTAGGGAGCCACAGGCTTCCCCCGCCTGCCACTTGTCCACATTTTTTTTTTTCCATTTTCAAATTTAGCTCCCTTGATCTTTCTCATGTAAACTTGCTGCCCGGTCGCTCCTGTCGGAGCCCACGTTCTCCTTCTAGGTCCTCGGGTGGATCTTCAGAGACGGCGAACTCCTGAGCAAAGCCTCCTTCCAGGATTCAGGGGCAAGGGAGCTGTAGCTTGGATGGGGCTTCAGAGGTGGCCAGGCAGATGGCCCCGTGGCCGTGTAGCCCCAGCAGAGGTGTAGTGGGCCTCACTGACCCCCACTGGCAGCAGCCTCTTGGGCAGGGGACCAGGTGTACCCCCCAGAACTATGATGGCAGGGGCCAGGGGGACCCTCATGGCCATCTGCACCGGGATGCTGGAGGCTTGGCCAGGTTGGTGGCCCTGGGGATGGCAGCGGCCGCTTCCTTGGAGCACCTGACACCCACTGAGTAGCCCCCGGAGCCACATAGGCCTTCGAACCTGGCCCCTGGGTCTACTGCTGCGGGGACATCCTCTTGAGAACCTCGGCCTCAAGAGACGTCCATGACGACACTTCTTGGCGGGTGCAGTGGGTTGGAGAGTGCCCGTCCAAAATTCATGCCAACCCAGCACCTCAGAACGTGACCTTATTTGGAGGTAGGTCTTTGTAGGCGTGAGGAGGTTAGGATCTCAAGGTGAAATCATCTCGGGTTTAGGCTGGACCCTGGGCCTAATGACCGGTGTCCTTATCAGAAGAGAGGACACAGACACAGAGAGAAGGCCACGTGGAAACGGAGGCAGAGATGGGGCTGAGGCAGCCCCTGGCTACGCAGCGCTAAGCAAGCCGGAGGCCACCAGGAGCTGGAAGAGAGGCAAGAACAGCCTCTCCCCCGGAGTCCTCCCTCAGCAGGAGCCTCCCCTGACAACACCTTGATTTCGGACCCTGGCCCCCCAAACCGTGAGAGAATAAATTTCTGTTGTTTCAGGCCACCTAATTTGTGGTGATTTGTTACAGCAACCCTAGAAAACCAATACAGGGGGTAGGAGAAGCAAGAAGTCCAGGGGACTGGCCCACTTGGGGACCGGTGACCCACCCCGTTCTCCGTCAGGTGTGCCGCCTCCGCCCACCCAGCCTCACGATGAAGGCTGGCACGGGGGTGTCGTCTGGGGTGTGTCCTTGGAGAAGGGGCACGCCTCCTTGCCTCCTCGCTCCGAGGCGTCCACTTCCCCAGCTGGTGGCCCCAGTTCTCTGCTTAGCTCTCACCTCAGTGTCCTGCCAAGTCAGACGCTTTGGAGAAAGCCAGAGTTTTCTGGGGGGTTTTGGTAAAGTGGTCACTCTATGTAAATATGATGGCTGTTACCGGCTGGGGGGACTCCCTGCCTATATGGTGCCCATACCAGTCCGCGCCACTGGTGCTTTGTGCCCCTGGTGTCCGATTCAGGGCCTTTCTCAGTGCCCCCCCCGCCCCCAGAGGGAACTTTCAATTCCAGGAGGGAACTGAGTCTTCGTGATTTTTGTCTCCTGCATTTGGTCCCCAGTGTCACCTCTGTCCCTGCTCATTCCCCCACCCCTCACTGCCTCCAGCCCCCCCGCCCCAGCTGCTTCTCCCAAGAGCACACCTGAAGGGTCAACTGCTGGTACCCGGATGCCTCCTGCGGAGAGGGAACCATGGGGGCTCTCTCCTGCTGGGGGTCTCTCCTGTCATGGCTGAGGAGTGTGGGCAGACCCCAGCCGCCCCCAGCTCACACCTGGGGCCTGATGCCCATTCTGGCTGGAACAGCGAGCCGGACTGGCCCTGAGTTCCAGGTGTGCCCCACCCCCACCCCGCAGAGAGCAGAGGCCTGCGGCTGTCTCATTTTCGTGCTGTCCCAGGCCTTCTACCCTGCTGGCCTGGGGGGTCCACAGCCAGCCGGCCGGTGGTGAGGAGAAGACATCTTAAAATGCGGGCACCAGGAGCTGTTCCAGCTGGAGAGACCTCTGACATCGTCCCCGAGGAACAGAAAGTGGCCCTGGCAGCCGGGGGTGGGCCCGGCCCTCACAGCTTGGTGTCCTCACGTGGACACGGAATATCAACACCAGACAAGCCCCCTCTGACTGATAATCAAGAGAAAGACAAGACCCGTCGGTCATCACTGAACACGGACGACAGCATGAACATCGTGCCGGCCACAGAATGACCAAACCCAGTTCTAGCCGGCTGCAGGCCCTGTGGACTAGGGGTTACTATTTATTTATTTATTTTTTCCAGTAAGCTCTATGCCCAGTGTGGGGCCCGAACTCACGACCCCACGATCAAGAGTCGCACGCTGTACCGAATGAACCAGCCAGGGGCCCCTGGACGAGGGTTATTGAGATGCCCCCTTCCTGACAGCGCCCAGTCCGGAGCAGAGCCCCGCCTCCTCAGGCCCCCCCGTGGCCCCCCAGCACCTGCCCAACACCCTGTAAGTCCTTCCTACCCCCTTGCCGAGCACCCCCCGCTGCCGTGGTGGCTCTCCCTCTAGGCCACGGGCGATGGCCCCTCCAGTGTTGGTGGGGCGAACACGGGACTGTAGAGAATTTTGTGTAAGGCTTTCCTATGGGGGATTTCATTCGTTGCCACGTGGCTAAGGGTTAAAGTTGACTTAGGTCGGCAGAGGCCCTGTTTAATCTTGGAGAACACGTACACCCATTTTTCTCTCAGCCGGTGCGGCGCGCGGTGAGTGGTGAGGGAAGAACGGGCGAGGGCCTCGCAGGCCTCGGGCTGCTCTGCACGGGAGCTCCACACCCCGCTTACTGCGGGGAGGCAGCCGAGTGGCTACTTGGCTTACAGAGCATTTTCTCACAAAGCCTTAAGGGCCTACTAAATAATAATAATAATACCAAATATCCCAGCACCTAATCGGAGGGCCGTGGGATGCTGCCCGGTCCCTCACTGGGGGTGGGGGAGCCTCCCAAGGTCACACAGCTGGTGAAGGGCAGGGGCTCCACTGGGACCTGGCAAATGTGACTTCCAGCTCTTTCCAGCCCAGGGTGCTGTCTGCTGCGGGGGCTGTTTTGATAAAGAAACACCAGGTCACTATAGCAGCGGGACAGTATCTGGCGACGGGAGTGAAAGATTATAATCGAGACATATTGGCTGTCACTCTCCATAGATAAGGTCTGGGGTGTGGAAGCGCACAGGGAGACTGCAGGGGGTAACGGAACAAGGACGGAAGAACCGGCTCTCTCCGGGCCCTCCTGCTCGCTCGCTGTGTGCCTGTGAGGCAGTCACTTAGCTTCTCTGAGCTTTGTTTCCCCATCTGTGCCTGCCTACCTCACGTGGCCATCCGGAGGAAGGGAAGGCTGTGAAAGCGCCAGATCACTAGTGGCTAGCATGTTGGCTACATCTTTTGTTTTAAGACTTGGTGGCTGCCCTTGAGTTCACAGGCTGGTTCTTGTAAAGACAAGGCCTACGCAGCATAGGCTCAGGGCTAGAGAAGTGGTATGGGCAACACATGCTCCAGTAGTGGTGATCTGGGGCGGCTTCCTGGAAGAGGAACAGCTTCAGCTGTACCTTAAAGAATGAGTGGAAACTTCATGGAAAGCAGGGGCATAGTCAGGGGTAATTTCAGAAAGATGCTTCAGGGCCATATTGTGAAGGATGTTGGGGATACCAGGCTGAAGAATTTGGATCTGTTCCGTAGGCACTGGGGAGCCATCGAATGCTTTTGAGGAGTGACAAGATGGGTGTTCTTAGGGGCGTGAGTCTGGGAGGTGGTTCGGAGGATGACAGAAGTGGGAAGAAGCTGGAGGGAAGCACAGCAGTGAAGAGCTGAGGAAGTGAACTCAGGCTGGGCCCTGAGGGAGGGCCAGTGGGAGGGTGGGGGGGGTGGGGGAGTGGCTTCCGCACACCTGGGAGGGAGAGCTTCAGAGCCTGGAGCAATTCTCAGTTGCCCAGCAGGGGGTGTATGTGGGGAAAGGGGTTTGAGCCTTGAAAGTAGAATTAAGTAAACATTACAAAGCTAGTGAGTTGTTTTCACTCCTGAGCCATGTGAGTAACACCGCTCTGAGTGTTCATGCATAGTCTACGCAGACCGATGTTTTCATTCCTTGCGGGTGGATATCGAAGAGTAGAATTGCTAGATCACGGGTGAATAGGCTTTTTAAGAAACTGCTGAGCTATTTTGTAAAGCAGATTTGTGCCATTTTGCATTCCCACCAGCAGTGTGTGCAGTTCCCCACGTCCTCACCAGCACTGTCTGTCTGGCTTTTTAATGGCAGCCGTGTTTGTGGATGTGAAGTGGCTTCTCCCTGGGGCTTTGATTTGCATTTCTCTGATGACTAATGGTGTGGAGCATCTTTTCCCGGGCTTATGGAGCGTGCGTAGGTCTTCTTGAGAGAAGCCATGTGAAAGGGATGCATTTGTCACTGCTGGCAGGAGATGGTGACTTACCTTTAATTCTGTGGTGGAAGGTTTCATTGGCTCTTCCACGAAGCCTTTACTGACAGCTCTTGTCTACACTGGTGTCTCCTTTCTCTGAAAGTGTAAAGCAGAAGTGACATCATATCTGAGGCCTAATGCCTTCCAAAGGAACTGCCCCTGGCACTTAAAATAAACTCAAGCTCCTCGCCTCTCTGGCCTGTCTCCCACCACCCTCTCCCTTCTGCACCTGCTCATTTTGCTGGAGCCACAGCAGCGGCCTCTGAGTGCCTCAGGGCCTTTGCACCGGTGGTCCCCTCTACCTGGAATTCTCTCCCCCTTGCTCGTTGCAGGCTGGCTCCATCTCACCCTTTGGAGCAGCCTGGCCCTCTCCTCTTAGAGAAGCTCTCCTGACCATCCTTCCCTGATGAGCCACGGTCTCTTATCACCTTCTGTTTGCTTCAAAGCGTTGATCACTGTCTGGGATTATCTTAATCAGTTGTTTACTTGCTTCTTTACTTTCTGCCGCACAAAGCCATCAGCAAGGGCCACCCCAGCCTTCAGCTGGCACTGGCCTGGCAAGAGCAGGCACTGGATAAGTGACCCTTGGATGACCGGCCCGAGGAGACTCGGGTGTCGGCTCACTTGTGACTGTCCTCACCCTCCACCCGTGTGGCTCCTCCTGCCCGGGCCTTTGCCATCCATCCCCAGGCTGAGGTGAGGCAGAACTTGAGGTCAGGGTGACATTCCGTCCTGCATGTCCTCGATGGTCACTTGGTCATTTTTGGACAGCGGTCCGAGCAGCAGGCCTTGGGGGCATTGACAAGCCAGAGCAAGGCCAGGCAGTGTCTGAGGAATGGTTTAAAATCTGAGGAAATATACTCTTTAAGAAGAGAAGATTTAAGGGTAACACAAAGTATTTGAAGGGCTGTAGGTGAAGAGGAGTCATAGGTGATGGGATATTTCATGGGGGTGTCTCAGAGGGCAGAAGAAATGAGGAGGATGTCGGTTTGGCTTAGGGAGGGCCTTTCTGTTAGCATTGCCTATTCTGGAATGGTTCCTCTTACGAGGTAGTGAGCCTCCTGTCCTAGAGAGAGTACCACTCCCCGGGGTGTGGTAGAGAGGATACAGCATTGAGAAGGCTGGAACAGGTGGCTTGTCGGGCCTTTCTCCCTCTGAGCCCCTAGGAATCCCCTCAGCTGAAGGTTCGTGCCGCACTGTCCCAGCGTTCAGAGGTGGCCTAGTGTTTTGATCTGGTGCTTCTGGAAAAGAGGAAAGCACCATTTCAGGGCAGGGTGAGGGAGGCGAGCCGCGTGCATGTGCCAGCCTGGGTACTGGCCAGCAGGGAGAGGATAGGCCCTACTCCAAGGCCCCGGGAGTGGATTTTCCGCTCGCTGGCTGAGTTGTGGAATATTCCTCTCCCCCACTGCAGGTCGGCCCCGGGAGGGCAGGGGCTCGTCTCACTCACCACGGCATCCCCAGTGCCCACAACAGCATCCAGCACGTAGTTGGTGCTCAGCCGACCGGACTTCAAAGCCTGGCTCTGGAACCCAAGTCCTTGGGAGAATCCCTGCCCACTCACTTGTCGTCTGCTCTCAGCTCCTTTGCCTCTCAGCATCCGCCTCCTTGTTTGCTCAGTGTGTGTGGTGATGTGAGGGTGACCGTCATCCCTGCCAGCCAGGAGGTTGCTCCCCTGCTCTCCTCGGTGGCAATGATCTTTGTGGCTGGGTCCCGCCTCCTCCATTCCCACTGTCCGTCTGCTGGGCAGGCAGTTTCCAGATCCCACCCACTGGCTCTGGGGGAGAGCACCCTGGCTGGTGGAGCCAGGATGTGGATGGGTGCCAAGGGAGGGTGAACGTGGTGCTGGCTGAGCGCTGGGCTGCGTGAAGGCTGAGTCACAGCCACAAAAACTGAGGGGTGTGTCCTGGTGATACAACACTCACTTCCGGCCAGGAGGGTGCTGTGTCTCATGGCTCAAGGCAAGGGAGCCCAAACAGAAAGGCTTTGAGAAAGAAAGGAAGCAGGACAAATGGAAAATCTGGGAATCCCCTTAGCTTGTGAGGATCTTTGGCGCCTCGGCTCCCCACCGGCGTGCGGCCTGGCCTGTCACGTGGCCTAGGGTGGCTTTCCCGTCTGCAAATACAGGTGGACCTCTAGGCACCGCCTTCCCAGCCATCCATGCCCCCCGGGCCCATGCACTGTCTTGTCCCAGGACCACAGCTCAGGCTGTGTTCCCCCAACCTGGCGTGCTCTTCTGCAACCCCCCCCCCCACCTGCTGAAATCCTGCCCTTTCCTGAGGCCTAATTAAAACACCGTGTCCTTGAGGCCTCACGCCATTTTCTGATGCAGCACCTGCCCCCTCCTCTGCCTGCCCTTGACATTTCAGGCTTCGGGGACTATGCCCTGCAAGTCAGTTGATGTTCCACACTTACCTTAGGCTCATCTCTCTCCCCGACACTGGATCATCTTCCCTTCCTGCCTCCCCCCTACCAGCTTGAATATGGTTCTGATGGCCTCAAACATTTTCATATAACTCCACACATATTTAACCAAATTGATCACAGGTGCTTTTTCTGATCTCACAGTTCTATGACACAAGAGTCTGTAAATACAAAATGATTGCCCATTGAAAAAAATATATATATTGCCGCTTCCTGGTACTTACCCAAACGAGCTGACAACTTGGGTCCTCACAAAAACCTGCACATGAATGCTCACAGCAGCTTTACTCATAATTGCCCAAACTTGGAAGCCACCAAGATGTCCTTCAGTGGCTGAATGGATACACTGTGTTGCATCCAGGTAATGGAATATTATCACAGATAATAAGAAATGAGCTATCAGATCACAAAAAGACATAGAGGAAACTTAAATGCATATTGCCGAGTGAAAGAAGCAAGTCTGAAAAAGCTACCTACTGTGTGGTTCCACTCCATGACGTTCTGGAAAAGACCGAACTTTGGAGACAGTGAAAGACCGGTGGTTGCCAGGGGTTGGAGGGAGGGCTGGAGGGACAGGTGGAACACAGAGAATTTTGGGGGCAGGGCAACTATTCTGTATGACATGGTAAGACGGACATTATGCCCTGGTCAAAATCCATCAAATGTAGGACAGAATGCGGCCTACTGCGCACTGTGCATTTTTGTGAGTAATAGCATTGGCTCATCAACTATAACAAATGCACTACACCAATATGGATGTAAATAGTGGGGAAATCTCTGGAGGGGGAAAGGTGGATAGGTGGGAACTCTGTACTTTCTTTTTTTTTTTTTTTTAAGATTTTATTTATTTTTGGGTGCCTGGGTGGCTCAGTTGGTTAAGCGACTGCCTTCGGCTCAGGTCATGATCCTGGAGTCCCGGGATCGAGTCCCGCATCGGGCTCCTTGCTCAGCAGGGAGTCTGCTTCTCCCTCTGACCCTCTTCCCTCTCGTGCTCTCTGTCTCTCATTCTCTCTCTCTCAAATAAATAAATAAAATCTTTAAAAAAAAGATTTTATTTATTTTTTGACAGAGAGAGACAGCAAGAGAGGGAACACAAGCAGGGGGAGTGGGAGAGGGAGAAGCAGGCTTCCCGCGGAGCAGGGAGCAGGGCTCAATCCCAGGACCCCGGAATCACGACCTGAGCGGAAGGCAGATGCCCAACAACTGAGCCACCCAGGCGCTCCAGGTGGGAACTCTGTACTTTCTGATCAGTTTTTCTGTAAACCTAAAACTGCTCTAAAAAAGTCTATTCATTAAAAATAAAAAAAAAAAAAAGAAATCACTTTTTTTTCTATGGCACTGAAGATGTTCCTCCCTTGGAGACTGCGTGTCTCCACTCTGTGTGATTCCTCTCTTTTCCTCCCCAAAGGCCTGAGCCACAGGAAGAGCTCCAGGGGCTTTCCTACCATGCCCGGTGGTTTACACATCTGCACATCTGCACATCAAGGGTCTGGGGGGCAAACAGTACCTGAGCCCGGGGCAGGGGGCTATGTGGTCCTGAGAGGCCTGGGTTGGGCCCACCACGGAGGAGGGCTCTCACACTCACAAAGGTTGGGCAGAAATGGCTGCTGCAGATCCTGGCATCACTCCTCCCTTCCCGAGCTAGGTTTGTCACTTCTCTGAACCTCCCTTTTCTCATCTGTAAATGGGGAGGATAATTCCTACCCCACAGTTGGGAGGATTACATCTATTCCTGGACGGCTTCCTACTGTCGGACATGGGGATGGCTCCTTGGATCTGGTTGAAAGGCCCACGGACTTTTTAAAAAAAGGGTCCAACCTGTAATTTGACAAATGAAGACAGCAGGAGAGTTGCAGGAGATGACTTCTGTGTTCTCAGCAAGCGGTTTCCAAAGAGGGAGTGGGCTATGTGGGAGGTCTTCTGGAAGTGTCCAGAGGAGGGCCTCCAAGGAGGAGCGGTATTTGTCTGGGAGGGCACATTAGCCTATCAGCTGGTGAGGAATAGTCAGCAGGAGCCAAAGCAAGAAAGTTGGAGAGAGCACCGCAGAGCAAATGCCCAGAAGCAGCCTCCGACATCTGGCAGGGCTCCAAAGCCAGTGCTCAGGCAGACTCCCAGACCAGGGAGGCAGCCTCTGCTCTCTCTGTGCCCTCTCTTCTGAGAGACTCCGCATGGTCCGGGGAGTATGAAAGGCATGATTTGGGAGCCAGACAAGAGCTGTATGACCTTGGACAAGTCACTTTACCTCTCGAACCTCCGTTTCCCCAAGTGCAAAGTGGGATTGTTGTGAGTGGTTGTATATAAAGCACACTCATGGGGCCTGACACCATGGAAAGGGGTCATTTGGGTGGCAGCCATGATTATTATTGGGGGCTGGGAGAAACCAGGGCCACTTGAAGCACTGGACCCTCCCTGGGTGCCCAGCCCGAGATCTGCCCCAGTAGGTGCTCACTGTAGGACCCATGAATGAGGGAGTGGTGGCTCTCTGCCAAGACCTGGTCCCGGGGAGGGCCTAGCGCTGGGTGCCACTGTGGACACACCGCACGAATGCCGTGACCTGTAATTAACCCAGGACTGGCTTGCTGGGCGGGTGGACAGGCTCTCCCTGGTGCCCACGTGATACTCTGGTCAGCCTCAATGAGCACACTTGCCACAAATCTGAAATCCCAGCTGTAGGCTGGAAACAGTTGCACAGAGAACAGAATTGTCACAACAGGAAGGACGTGTTTGGAGCCTGCTGGAGGGACGGTGGAGGGAGCCTCGGCCCTGCTCTCCTGCACCCCAGGCCACCCAGGAGCGGCCAGACCCCAGATGCCTAGAACATGGCTACGAGGAGCGTGTGCTTGGCAGGGTGCTGGATTCAGCCCTGGCCAGCCGCCCCTGACCTTGGTCTTGAACTGTAAGGAGGGTTGCTTGCCCATAGCCTTTAGGAATCCGCCTGCAGTCGACCTCAGGCCAGCAGCCCCTCACTCCCACTGTCCCCATTACCTGCCCCTGATATGTATCCTCTCAAGGCCTGCTTATCTCTTCAAGGATCTACTCAAACTCTGCTTTTCTCAGGAGCTGCCCAGGACCCCAAATATTTGCTTGGGCCCCTCTGGAGCCTTGCTCGCAGCCTGCCTCCTCTGGTCTCCCACCCAGCAGGAGGTGCTCAAAAGTGGGGAATGTGTATTTTTCATTCATGCCTCCCTTGGTCCCCGGTATTATGTGTCTGCTCTGTTAGAGGGAGAGGTAGCGTTAGCGTGGGGAAAGAATGTTGGAGAAGGAACCAGAAGCCCCAAGTTTGAGAAGGACCCCTGGTGCTGATGACTGGAAAACCTGGGCAACTCACCTGACTTCCCTGGGCCTCTGCTTCCTCACCTTAGAAGGAGGGTAGGCCTCACCTGCCGTCCTTTGGGGTCTTCTGGCTTTGATACTCTCTGGTCCCAGTTGCTCTCCCCAGCCTCTTCCAGCCATTCTCCTCCCTGCCCCCTGCCTGCCCCATGCTGCTAATGTGAAATCATCGATCCCCGTGCCTGTTAACCTGCTGGCTGCTTATTCTGGTCTATCGTCCTTCATTCATGAACCTGGAGAAGAAAAGGAATATTCCTTAGTCACACACACTTCTGAGGCTCTGCCACATGGCGTCGACAGCGCTGGTTCAGTTGATTCAAAACCATGTGTACTCACCCCGGCAGCCTCTAGCTTGAATCTCTCATCTGCCGCCCAAACCCAGAGAGAAGAGAAAGTGGCTGGCATGGGAGGTCCACCAGGCAGAGGAATTGCTTGAACTTGATATGAAGGGTCTTGACCTCCCCCACCTTCCCACCCCCAGTGCGGTTGTTTGGTTTGGAGGGTGGGTTTGTTTGTTTGTTTGTTTTAAAGATTTTATTTATTTATTTATTTATTTGACAGAGAGAGGGAGAGCACAAGCAGGGGGAGTGGCAGGCAGAGGCAGAGGGAGAAGCAGGCTCCCCCCACAGCAGGGGGAGCCCGATGTGGGGCTTGATCCCAGGACCCTGGGATCACAACCCTATCTGAAGGCAACTGAGCCACCCAGGCGCCCGGGAGAGTGGGTTCTGATGTGTTGTTCTCAGACTTGCTTGGACACTCCCACGGAGGGAGAAGGGGGGACGGGGAGATGAGGCGGAGGCAGGAATGAAGCTTGGGAGGAACAGAGGGCCGTGGGAGTGGGAATGCAGGCAGAGGGTGGGGCAGCCTGTGAGAGCGAGATGGTGCCCACATTCCTCCGTGGGTGATAACCTGAGAGCGAGGCCACCTCCCCTGGAACAATGTCTACTTTCCGAAGCAGCGCCCTTTGGCTCTGCTGCTCTTGGGCCAGGGAGTGTGGGAGAGGGAAAAGGAGCCTGCATGTCCACTGGGGTCTGCCAGGCCCCTCACCTGCTCACTCTTCCCTTCGCAAGCCAGGAGGTGGATCTGGCAAGCAGGTG